AATCACTTATGTTAATACCACATAGCTTGTATTATAATTTCATATATTCATGTAATTCAGTACATATCGCATATACATGTAATCATGTAGATCATGCCATATATAATAACATATGACACAAACTCATTTTCATATACTCATGCACACATAAGAATTCCATCAATCACAAATCAAATAATATTTTAGGAGTCACTTCTTACCATAGTAACTCTGTCACTGACTCATCGCAAGCCAATGTTTGTTCTATAACATAAGTACAAATTAAATGTGCACTCACCTTGACACTATATATCCAAATCCACTTCTATGATTTATCTCTTTGGATTGATCCTAACTTTATAGTCGTTTCATAACTTGCTTGTGCTCGATATCTACACAACCATACATATAATATCCATATCAGCATTCCAAATATTATGATTCAATCATTCATTTCTTAGACTAAAAGAAAGATTTAATTCTATTTTCCTCTTGAAGTAGTATTGGTACCCCCATAGGGTATCAATACTTCCTTAGCATTCGATATTTTTTTTCAAAAAATGGTATTGATACTCTCTCCTTAAGGTATCAATACCCCAACTATGTGAATGTGCACTTAAATTACCAATCTTTTCAAACTTCCAAAATGGTCATATTTCACATTTAAATGCTCATTTTAAATCCAAAACAGTAATTTCCAGCATAGTACATCAACTATTAAACAATTATACAATCATTCATAACTTTTCCAAAATTATTGAATTGGTCCCCTAACTTTTAAAAAATTACAAAATGGTCCCCAAACTTTTTAAGGCTAGTAGAATACTTCCTACATCATTTCCAAACCTTATATAATTTTTCCATAATTTTTCTCACACAAATTCATCATGGCCAAATTTTCAAAGAATAATTTCTATAAAGATTGAATGTGTTTTAACCATAAATTAAGCTTGAAAATGAATCTACAACCTCTAAATCATCAAGATTTATCATCAATTTCATGAATCCTATCATGAACATAAACCCTTAGATTTAGGATCTTTGAATTCCAGCAAAGATTAGAAAGAAATATTGGTACCAAATGGTAACGTTTTTCGCGTATATCACTTTCCTATTTCACGACATAACTCGAATTCCAAAGGAATTGGCTCAAAAAAATTGAAAACAAAATGTTTTCTTACCTTTGGGAGAGCTCACGTCTTTGCTGCTGGAAGATGAATAAATTCATATGATATTTCTTCATCTTTCTTAATTAAATATTGAATAAAAAATTCATTAAATGTCAAATTATCACTTTACCCTTGAAATCAAAATATTTATACTAATTTACCCTTAATGGACTTGATATTTACATTAATACCAAGCCACAACAACCTTATCATCTTTCAAAGTCAAAGATGAACAAAATATTTTCCCACTTTACCATTTTGCCCTTGAAATTTCCAAAACTTACAATTCTGTCACTTTAATCCAACAGTCCAAATTAAACATGGAATTAAACTCTTAAATATTATTTTCCCACATTTAAAAATATGAAAATAATATATTTATTTCCTTATTTTCGAGACCAATTGTAAATTTTAAAAATTACAATTTTAGTCCCTAAACTTTTCAAAGTTTATACTTTAGTCACCAAACTTTACAAAATCTTATAATTTGGTCACTAACTAAATCCATTTATGGAATAAAATTCTTTTTGGGAAAATTACCATTTAGATCTTTAAACTTTTCCCAATTTTTTACTTTGATCCTCAGACTTTCAAAATTTGTATTTTGGTCACTAGCCCGTTTTTTGGGATGTTACAATAGATACCAATAATTATATGGACATGTAATATAGGTTAGGTAATGAGGATCTATGTGTCTATATGACTAGGAGAAGAGATAAGAACAATAGGTAAAATATGGAATAAGAATTTATGTATTTATGTGAATATGTAATAAGTGCACACGAACCCTAGGGAATGTTCTAAGTGGAAGGGAACTATATGTCATATAGTATATTATATGATAATGATTTAGGTGAAATATGATAACCAAATATAAGTTATATGAATTAGATCTATGTGAGCTAATATGATGGACTTATGTGATTAAATGAAGACTGAGATAAGTTGAGTAGAATTGGTATATATATATATGATAATAAAATGAGAATCAGATGTAAACTAGGAAATACTGGCATAAGTTATTATACTAACATTTAATATTAGTTGTATAATAATTATATAGGAAATCATATGTGAATATAGGTTTAGGTAATAAAATATGTGAAGTTGAATTAAGTAAATATATAGAACTAGTATAAGCTTTATATGTTATAGATGATTACGAAAATCGGTAAGATAAGTTATATTGTATTAATATAAGAGTATATGCTTCAATTATATGAATTGAAAGGTGATCATAAGATAATAAAGAATAAAGTATATGATATGAGTTGTGAAGCTATGTGATATGTGTTATAAGACAATGATTTGAGTGAGCACATGAAAATGTTACATGAAGCATGTGATATATGCTATGAGATATGACCTATGTGACTACATGCGAAATGTTATACTTTATCTGATGATTTGCGTAACTATGTGAATATGTGATAAGAATAAATGATAATGCCCATGTTATGTAATATTTGAGCTAGAGGTATAGTTGGCATGCCAAGAGTCGAGGGTTTTACGTGGTCCTTCGGGACATATATGTAATTTTATGGAACATATATTTGGTACTTCGGTACACTTATTTGGTCCATTGTATTATGTATATGGTTCTTAATGAGTGATCCTTCGGGACATATGTGATATGTGGTCCTTCGGGACATAGTGGTTATTCGAGACAAATTCTAAGTGCCCCTAGTGGGATTTATACGAGCTGTGGTGACAGCATATGCACACAACCTCAATGTACTCGCATATTTTTAGTTCTCCAAAATATATATGGGCTAATAAAATAAATAACATAAATAAACCTCTTGTAATATTATATGCTCAATTTGTGAAAGGTATGGTTTGAAGTGCTACAAAGGTTAACTCTCAGATTATATGTTCGAAATGAATCATATGATAGTTAAGAAAGTTAAGTGTAAGAATAGATATTTAAAAGATATGAATGAATATAATATTGCTATTAATGGCATGATTTGTGTATGTGCACATTCGTTTATATGTAATGTTATATTGTTTTGGGTGATAGCATTGTATGATATGTTTATGCATGGTTAAGTAATTAGAGTTTCCTTTATAAGTTAACACCTCACTAAGTCATCGACTTAACGTGTGAGTGTTTCACACGTAGGGTTTGACAAGCTTTTGGATCGAAGAGGAGCAAGACATGTCAGTTTCTCCTTACAGAATGTCAGATCAGAAGATAAAAGAATAATATATATTTTGTTATACAGATTCTTGTTGGCATGTAGTTAAAAGATTGGAATTTTATTCGCTCTGATAAGTTTTGTAAACTCTTTAATTTAAATTGTATAACTTATGCATTTTGATTTAATAAAAGTTAGAAATATCATTCTTTGGAAAAAAAGTAATTGTTTTGAAAAGTCAATATGACACCTCAGACTTGTATTCGGGTCAGTTACGGGTTGGGTTGTTACATAAAGGACATCAAAACATGGAATAAAGTGTGTATGTTGCATCTAATTAAAAATATCCTTGCGGGGGAGGGCTCTCTGTGGGTTGCTTGGATAAAAAACTACATAATCAAGAATCAGGAGTTATGGCTCATTGAAAAACAACAAGTTCAAGTTGGTGCATCAGGAGACTTTTAAAACTCCGAACAGTTGCTCGACCAGTTTTATCTACAGGAGCAAAGAAAACAAAAGAAATTTGGGAAGAGGTTCGGACTAAAGGTGGCAAAGTTCCGTGGCATAATGTGATCTAGTTTCCACAACATGTCCCTAAATTTAGCATGATTTCTTGGATTGTTATTTTGGATAGACTTCCAACTAGGGAGAGACTTCAACGTATAGGAATTGTAACTAATGGGCAATGTGTTATCTACAATGAAGCTTTGGAAATCGGAGACCATTTATTTGTCGAGTGCAAGATGGCTGCTACCATATGGAGCACTATCATGCATCTCACCGGCTTGAGCAGATCTTCTTTTTCATGGGTTAACTTACTTGATTGGGCATGCGGTGCTTGGAAAGATAATTCCCTACTTACAACTATCTTGAAGCTTGCTTGGTGTGCTTTCAATTATTTCATATGGGAGGAAAGGAATCGAAGACTGTTCAGAGGAATTTCAAGATAAGAGGATGTAATTCTAAATTCCATTAAGGAGATTGTAAGAGCTCAACTAAGTGATAAGAATATTAATAGATTGGATAACACTAATTTCACTCTTTGTAATCACTAGGGTATAGTTTAATTTTTTGTTGTAAATAAGTTCCCCTTTTGTTCATTGATTGGATTGTTTCAGTTGCAGATTACTGCATTCTTGGGTAATAAAATCTTAATTATCCAAAAAAAATCATTAAAAAAAGTATAAAATTTTTAATACATAATATTTTAAAAAAGATATTGTCTTATATTTATCTTAAATTAATAAAAAAAAAATTAGTCATTCAGAGAATGAATTTGACAAGTAGCAAAGTGAATGGCTGTCCGTATATTAAAATATTTCCATAAGTAATCAAAGAAATTCTGAATACTTTCCCCCCTTTTTTGCATAATTGTAAATTACATTTTTTTGGCAGGAATGTAATTTTAGGGATAACAGAAAGGGCAAAGCAAATAAGGCAACAATATAATCAGCGGTTTAAAAAGCTCCACGTCGTCCCCACTTCCACAAAATCAAAAGGTGGATCTAAAGTACGTAATTTAACTCCAATTCATGAGCACGGCGGAATCCGAGTATAGCCATGCTGGAGTTTTCTTTTGGCCAATGCTGGATTCTCCTTTAAAGCGCACAAAAATACCGTTCAAAAGAGAAAAAATAAAATAAAAGAAAAAAAGGCTAAAAAGTATATAATTAAATTATACGTTACTCCCCTCAGCAATTTTCTCAATTAACCAAAACCAACAACAACAAAAAAACCCTCACCCCATCAACTTTCTCTTTAACGCTCCGGAAAAAAAACCGAAAACCCTAACTTCCTCTCGAGTAAATCCTCTTCTCTCCATCTCTCGTTGAATCGACCTTTCCTTTTAAGTTTGATGGATTTTTACATGAATTTCTAGGTTTTCAATGGTGTGAAATCGGGGCCTTAGACTCAGATTTAAAGGATCTGTTTCTGTATATTTAGGGTCATATATATTCTTTATAGAGAGGGAAAAAAGATATGGCGGTATCTGAGAAAGAGCTGGAGCTACAGTTAATGGAGGCTGGAAACAGGCTCGCTGAACCCGCTTCATCAGTTGATGAGCTCATCCCTCTCCTTGACGTAATCCCTATCCATTTTTTCTCTATTTTTTCCTTTTCCCCCCCTTTATTCCGTTTTGCTCTTCGTTATTTTTTTCGTCTTCTTTGCTTTATCTATTTTTAGTTGGTATGCTTTTTCTAATTATTTTTGTCATTCTTTATACGCTCCTAAGTTAGTTGGATTCCCCCAATCGTGATATACTTTTATCTTTGTTCTTAGGGTCTCCTTCTGTTGCACGGTTTTGACGTGCTTAGTCGCTCAATTCTGCTACCGCTCTTACTCCTACAAGATTAAATCAGTTTAAAAGTGTTTTCTTCTAATGTATATTGTTTAACACTCTTAACTATTGTAACTTTCTCTCCATATATGTTATAGGTATTTTTGTTTATTTCTTTACTTACAGATATGTTCAAGTTAACATCTTTACTGGACTTTAAATTCTTGAATCTTTTTATGCAAATGATACGCAGTAGATAATATATGGATGAAATGGTTTTAAGTTATGAATTTCTTTCGAATTCAAAACTTTGCGCTAGCAGTATTTAAGTGATTCTGCATGCGAAAGCATGAGATTTTTCCCCTAAATCAAATACCATGTCAAGCTTTAAGTTTATGAAGTCTGAGGCTATGGATATAAAAAATATATCCTTGATTCTTTTTTTTCTTTCAAATAATCAAGCACCACCTATGTTTCACAATTATTTTTTGACAGACCATTTAAATTTTTTATGACTGACACATGTGATGATGTTGAAACTATTGAGAGTTAATACATAATGTGTACTCATGATGTCTAGTAAAACCTTATATAGTTCCATTGTAGAACAATCCTATGAATTTAGCAATATACGTAATTGCAGTGTGATTTCAAGATGAGTGCTTGCTGAAGTCTTAAATTTATGGTTAAATTTTAAGTACTTCTCGGTTCTGGTCCCCTTATTTCCTAGTGAATATTCGTTGTGTTGCTTTTGATCACTGCCAACTTGCCCTTACAGTTGGACTTGGCCATGTTTGTTTTCTTTTTGTAGAGCGTTATTGCTCTATGGTTGACAACAGTTGTTTATTCCTTTCTATCCTGTGTGAATATAGCAAGTTGAAAGTTGTCTTTCAAGGGTGGAACAATCACCAAGCCAATCAATGCAAAATGCACTGTCTCCGTCACTTAAAGCATTGATCGCAGAGCACCTTTTCAGGCATCCTGATGATGATGTCAAAGTTGCAGTGGCCGCTTGCATCAGCGAGATAACAAGGATAACCGCACCTGATGCCCCTTATGATGATGACCAAATGAGGGTACTTTGAATTCATTGTTTTGGGATGTTTATGCTGACCACATCATTTTAAAATTGTTTTCCGCATTTGAAATATTGATTCCCATTAATGTGTATGCAGGAGGTTTTTCAACTGATTGTGTCATCCTTTGAGAATTTATCTGACAAATGCAGCCTCTCATACATTAAGAGGACCTCAATTCTTGAAACTGTTGCCAAAGTCAGATCATGTGTGGTGATGTTGGATCTTGAATGTGATGATCTTATTGTTGAGATGTTCCAACATTTCCTTAAGGCAATAAGGTAAAAATGAACTTACTGATTGGAGAGTCCATTCTCTAGTTGAGATTTTTTTCATCTGTCACTCTTCAGCTATTGCCTGCTAGCTAATGTGTGATTTATAAGTTTACAATTGATTTTTCTTCAAGATTATTGCTTTTTAAAATTTTCTTCTCGGTTCTTTGTCTTTGTCTCATGGATGAATCTGTGCCTTTGCTGAAGTTCTTCATATGTTAAGCGATGATCATAGCTGTTATGAATTTTCAGATATGGGTTTAATACGATAAACTGCTATATAGGTTTTGAATAATGAAGATTTTGCCCCCTCTTGAGTGTCCACAGTTAAACCTCCCTTTAACTAGGTACCCCCACTTGGTCGGTTTAATGTTCAATTCCTCCAAAAAAAAATGTTTAATATATATTTGTTCTCAACATGATTTTTGTCCCTTCATCCTAATATATTCACCGAAATGCAAGGAGAATAAAAAGCGGCTTAGTACCTCATATATTCTAAGTTACTAGTTTCCTTATGATTCTTTTTATTTGTGTTTTTAGGGATTATCACCCGCAGTCCATCTTTACATCAATGGTGACTATTATGAGCCTTGTACTGGAAGAAAGTGAAGACATCCCTATGGAACTGCTCTCCCCAATCTTAGCTAGTGTAAAGATAGATAATGAGGTCTTTTGTCCTATGAGTGGCTTACTTCATTTCACTTTTGCAATCTTGCTTAATTCGCCTAGGGTTTCTATTTCTCTCAGGAAATTCTTCCTGTTGCTCGGAGGCTGGCTGAGAAAGTGCTCAAGAACTGTGCATCAAAGCTTCGACCTTACCTTACCCAAGCTGTAGAGAACTTGGGAATTTCTTATGATGATTATAGTAGTGTAATTGCTTCTGTATGTCAAGTGACAGCTCATGCTGTGAACTCGAATGATGCCGCCTCTGGAAAACATGTGGTAGTTATCTCATTTGTAACTTATTGTCATTACATCATTACTTGATTCCTTTTTGTTTGAGGGCAATCATTTACTCATTTTGTGCAGTTTTTCTATGGATTCCTGCTCAGAATTATTTGCAGATAGATTATATGCCCTGGTTACTCATTTAAGTGCCAATGCTTTCTATTTATTTTGTGTGTTCACCTTTTGTTCCTGGTCATTTTGTTTTTTGTCTTAATTTTTATTTTCCTTCAAAATATCCTTCAAATCAAGACAAATTTTTGCCTTATGCTGACAATGCTATTGATTTTTTTTTTTACTTTTTGTGAACATGGAGCTTATTTAGTCTCCTTAATGTTCCTTTTTCGGGTTTGATTTTCTGTAGGATGACGAGAGCATACTGGTGGAGACACCTTTGGAGAAGGCAGCCCAGGTATGTTTTATTTCATGTATTTATTGTCAATTGTCATTCTCCTTTTTTCATGTGGAGTGAAGTCCTTTGTTTTTCTTTAACATTTTCATTGAACTTTTACGAGAGTTTAGTGCCTGAAATTGTTGTTTATAAATCATCATATTCCCAACAGATTCCTGAACAGGCAGTTTCAACTGAACCAGTGGATCCTGCAAACGAAAAATCTCCCAAGGAAGTTGTTTGTAATGGCATTTTGCGAACTGCTGAAGATGACTCGTTGGCTGATTTGAACTCTGTAAAGAAGGAAGAGGGTGACCATATTGCTGATAAGTCCAAGAATGAAACACCACCTGTTGCTGAACCAAATATATCAAAAGCTGAGGAAGTAGTCAATTCAGATCCTACATTAGAGCAAAATACCCATGAAAAGGGGAGGAAATCTGATTCAAAATTAACTGAACCTTCTGACAGCTCCCATGTTGATGAGAAGGCAGTTGATACCTCAAAAGATCAAAAAAATGACAGCAAGGATGATGTTGGTTCACCTCGTCTGTCTGTTGGTGGGGCTGTATCCTCTGAAAATAGAAGAGAGACAGATGTTCAGCATTCCTCTCAAAAAGCAACTGAGGAAGAATTGAATGATGTAGCATCCCCAACTCCAAGTGGGACTGATAGTCATTCCACAAGGGCAGCAAGGCCAAAAAGGAAAGAGAGCGTGAGCAAGGAAACCACATCCTCTGTTGATGATGTTTCTAAAGCGACAAGTGATTCGGAAACAAAAACAAATAGACGATCAGGGAAAGAGATTGCTACTGTAGTTTCCAGCGAGGATAATCCTCCAATTGATGTAGATGAAACTAAGAAAGAAAGTGACACTGCAAGTGATTCAGAGGCAAAATCGTTGAAGAAATCATCAAAGAAGGTAGACTCGATGAATCCACTTCGAGACAATTGTCTGATAAGAAAAGGAGAGGTCGAGGAAAAGTATCTGAGAAGGATAGAACGAAAACCTCAACCAAGAATGACGACGAGGTAATTCCTTTTTGGCTTTTAACTTGTAATTTTGCTATTGTGATGATGGTGTTCTTTTTAAAGCTTTATGATTTATTTGTTTAGCTGTTCTAGATCCTTCAACCAAGGAATCATTCTTGCTTATTATTGATTTAGGAAGTGATTGGATCACCAAAGTCAGTGAAGCCAAACAAACATGATTCTCGCATGGAGGAGACCCCTAAGACAAAATCCAAGAGAAAGAATACCCCAAGTAAAGAAAAAGTAATTTCTTTTTGCATCTTTAAAGATCAAATTTTAGTTGTGGTATATTGTAGTTTCCATAGGTCGTATTTTAATGAAGGCGCATCTATGGTGCATTGATTCTTCATTTTTCTTGATGCATCTACATTTGTCCGTCTGACCCTTATCTAGACATAGATATGTGCATATGTTCTTTTGAGGACACTTAAAATGCATGGAGAACGTGAAAAGAATTAAACATACCTGCTTTTGACACTCACACCTGAGTCTTAGTAACATAGGCCAGCATTATAGGTGACCTTTGATGATCCTTGTAGGTTTGAACCCTTCCATTCTTGCATCCTTAACGATCATTATGCTATTTATAGGCCATTTATTTATTTTTCTTGCTTCTGAATATTCCTGTGTTCGTCTGGATTTAACCTTTAGCTTTTCTCAAGTCTGTGACTGCTTTTATTTTTTTCACTTTTTCCAATTTGTCTACTCTCTCTGTATTAATATTGCTTCCGTCATGTTTTTATTTGTTTCTTAAAGATTTTTCTTCTTTCAGAATGAAGTCTATTTTGCAACAATCTGCATTTAACCATCTCTGAGGTCCTTTATCTTTCAAGAGTTATTTAACATTATTTTGATTTTTCTGCAAGGTTTCAGTTTTGTGTTTCCTTGTAACAATCATCCTGCAATACTGTCGTTACTCCTTCCTAGAAAGTCCATCAAACCAATTCTCTGTTGCCCAACTATTGCATCCATTAAACCCCGCCAAAAAATTGGATTATATGGGCCCAAATAGTTCTATAGTAACCCTTTATTAAACTCTGTTCTTGAATGCTGCAATCTGAACATAGCTGAAGCAATGATATTACATTTCATTCTTCTGGAGACAATTGATTTCCTTTTTATGTTGATTCATTTTCAGGCTTCTGATTCTATGGAGTATGGTGAGAATCTCGTTGGCTTGAAGGTGAAGGTCTGGTGGCCCAAAGACCGTGAGTAAGTATATATATTTTACAATTGTCACAGAAATGATACTTTGAAATAGAAACCATGTATTTTATTTGTTTCTATTTTGTCTTTGAAGTGTATGCTTGTGTGAGCATGTATCTAATGTGAATGTGCTTATATATGTGGATCCCACCCTGTCTGTCTGTTGGTCTGTCCGTCCATCTGTTTTTCTGCATTATAGTTTGTCTCAACTTTTAAGGTCATTTCGTTAGAGTTTCTTTCTAGCCTTAAACCTTAATATCATGTTATAATCCTTTTTTACCTTGTTCTCACACTCGAGTCTACAAATTGCTCCAAGGTGAAAATGACATATAAGGTGTTCAGTGTTCCTTGCCAAACATGGCATGTGTGCAAATATAAGATCTGATTGTGTAAAAAGGAGGTTGGAATCTGAAGCTAATAGGACCGATGATGAAACCAAAAAACATAGCATTGAAACTGTTGGTGGTTTTCCAATCCTACACAACAAACTCTTGAAATGCAACACCTAAAAAGATCGAAAGAACAAGGACAATACAAAAACCATTATCTGATGCCTGACTATCTCACCTTTTTAATCTCATCTCCTTTTAAAATTTTTATAGTAGACACTGATAAAAAAAATAAATAACTTTTACTATTAAGAATAAATTACTTAATTATTTGGAATGATGTTGTCTTGGGTGACATATGTTTCATTATTTGTGACTACTTGTCTGGAACTTTTTCCTGAATGGTTAATTTACTTTTTAATTCTTTCATCAAGTCACATTTGTATTCTTTGGATGTATTATTACTTTTCCTATGCCGACTTTTGCCATGGAACTTAATTATGTAAAACACGTATATTGGAGATTCTCTTTATATGAGACCTGAATTATTTCTCAGTTTTCTTACTCTCATTGATGATATTGTTTTGCAGGTTCTATGAAGGTTTTATCCATTCATTTGATCCCTCTAAAAAGAAGCACAAGGTGACGCATCAAATAAAAGTTTCCTTTAATGTTTTTCCTTAGTATGTTACCATGGTGTTTTTGCTAATTACTCATTCTAGAATGTTCAAATTTGTTTTCTTCATTTTTCGTTTGTTTTTGTAGGTGCACTATAATGATGGTGATCAAGAAATTTTAAATCTTAAGAGAGAGAAGTGGGCGGTGATTGAAGATGAATCTGGGTCTGATGAGGTGAGCACTTTAATTTATAGGTAATTAATTTTTGTTTGTTCATGTTCTAGGTTTGCTAATATACTTCACTGAAACAGGAAGCCGCAGCTATTCATTCAAGTCCTGATGTTTCATCTGACATGTATGTGATTCCTTTTATGTTTCTAGAATGTTAAATTTGATTGCACCACCATCTTGGTTCTTGAAAGTTGTGTATTTTGGCCCTGTGCGATGAAACTTCGCTTGGTTTCTGTAGTTTAAGTTGATACTTCATTATTTTTTTTTTGATAAGAATGACAGGCCTCCTTAAAAACCTCCTCCTTGATTAAAGGAGGAAAAGAGTGCCTCAGAAACTTTATTACTCCTCCGAAATTACATAAGATTTAACATAAACACCATACTGAAAAAACACAACAGACTAAGCTACTCAACAGACAACCAAAAACCTAAACTCAAACGATACAACGCACTGGAAACGACTAAACATCAACCAATTCCCATCTTTGCTAACCTATCAGCCTCCCCATTACACACCCTTGGAATCAGTCTAATTGAGTGCACCCTGTCCGAGATAAAAGATGAAATCTCTTTAACTAATGGGAGGATAAAAACAGGGGCCAAAGCTGGGGTATGGACCCATTCCACAGCCGACTTACAGTCACTTTCCACAATCAACCTTCCAACCTTAACCCAACAAGAAGACATATAGATTTCAATGCCTCTCTTAATAGCCTTTAACTCAGCAACCGGCGGGGGACCCTGAAGTTGATACTTCATTATGTAGCAATGTTAATTTTATCTGAATGGAGTTCGCTTGAGATTTAGGTATTAGACTTTGGTATGGCTTTGCAATTGCCTGTTGGTTTCTTGGGAATTTGGTTCATTACTGTCTCACTGTTGGTCAGGGCTTATTTTCATTTCCCCTTCGTTCATTTTCCATGTACAGGCCTCAAAAGAAGAAAGCAAAAACAGCTGATCTCTCTAGCAAGAAAGCTAAGATGGATGCTACACCAAAAAGGTGACTAGATTCTTTCAAATGAACCATTGATATGGTTCTTTATTTGATTTCTGAAAATCCCATTATTGTGGATGGTCAGGGGTGGAGGAACTTGGACTGGGAAATCCAAGGGTGCGGGCACAAATTCTGGTCGCAAAACAAAGGATGATGCTAAAATGGATGTCAAATCCAAAGATGGCTCCAAGAGTGTCGGTAAATCAGACAAGGACAGTGTTGCTAAATCCAAGGATCATACCCCTAAAACTGGTGATAAATCAGTTGACATCGCTTCAAAAGTAGGTAAGAAGTCCAAGAATGAGGACAGTGGTGATACACTGAAGTCCATGAAATCCAAGAATGAAGGAAGTGCCACACCAAAAGCTTCCACAAGGTTACAAGACACTTCAAAGACAGCCAAGTCCAAGCAGGAAACCCCAAAAGGTTCCTCCCTTTCTAAGGGCAAACCTCTTAAAAGTGGTGGCAAATCCAGTGCTCATGGCACTGGCAAGTCAAATTCCGATTCATCAAAGGTGAAAGAAAGTGAAAGCACGAAAGAGAACTCAACGGATTCAGAAAAGGTTGTGGGAAGTGTGAAGCGGAAAGCATCAAGTTTGCCGAAGTCACAGGGAAGTGATTCCAGGTCTGGAAAAAAGCAGCGAAGATGAGCTTAAAATAGCATTAACTGCATCGTCACTGCCAAGGGTTGGTTCTTGTCCAATGTGGAACTTGATGGAACCTCAAGAGCACTATTGCAGGCAGTCTTTAGACGTACGGGTGCTGGGCCATGCAATTGGTCTTTCACATAGTTAGGTTTCTGGGTAGCAAATATTGATAAGGTAGCGTTTGTAGGGTTTGTGTTTCTCTTATTGTTAGTGCACGCCTTAGGATTACATTGGGTTTACCTTTTTTGTCTTGTACCAAAGAGTTGCTTCTATAGATTAACGTAATAGATTCGAGAAACTTGTGGAAGCAGTGGTCGTGTATCATCTATTCAACCCCAAGCTTCACGCACTCTTTTTTTCCTTTAATGATTGCCTCTTTATTTGGTTGGTAGCACAATTACATGTTCTTTTTAATGTTATTTCCATATACACTCTAGAATTATTTCCGACATCGGGGGCGAAAGATTGGGTCCACGACTATTAAGCTGTTGGTGTAGTTGATGCATCTAACTCTGTAAGTTTTAACAATTTAACCTTTTTTTCAAATGTGTGTCGACGATAAAAGCAAGGAGGGAACACAAGGATACAAAAAAAGTAAAGGCTGGTTTAGTTAGTACAAACGCTTTGAAATTGAAGCAGCGAACCAGGATGATAGCAATGTATTAACAACTAAAGCCGAGATGGGTCAAAACGTAGATATCCTATAACACCATATTAGGGCCTTTGAAAGACTAGAGCCGCACTTGCATGACACGCTAGTGCTATACAGTTCACTTAATCAAACCTTTATTTCTTCAGATTTCTCCTATGTTTCTTGAGGTGACTATATGATGATAGATACGTATTACGTCGTACTAATTTTATCTTAATTATTAAATTCGAATCATATTTCTAAATTTTTAATATAATTTCTTAGAAGTTTATATTTCTTAACTTTAACCTTTTATATTAGTCTCTAGTTATCTTAATTACGAAACTATTGAAAGCAAGAGATGATATAGTGTGCTTTTTCTTGTTATTTTTTTTATATAAATTATAATAATTAAATCATTTATAAAATGTATTTTATTAAAAATAGTTGTATCCTAAACATATTTAAATTTATGATTTTTTAAATGAAAAAAATTCTACAGCGCACTAGCACACCGTAGCATACCAGTAAAGCGATGTACCAAAACGTATCACTAGTTAAAATTTTCTTATTAAATAAATATTAAAAGGATAAATTACAGACGTTTATACCTAAATTATCATTTTTGTTTAATTTTAGTATTTAAACTTTATTTTTTTTAAATAATTGATGGTAATGCTTATATGACATGGACCTATGGGATAAAAAATATAGAAATCATTCTTGCTCCTAGTATGAATTAATATGGAGTATGTTACATAAGAAACAAATCACTCAACCATTGAGCTAAATTAGTTATTTTGGTAAATTTCACCATATTTTTTATTTAACTTATACAATGATATCACCACAAAATCTATATTTTCGATGATTAGAAGATTTAAATATGAGACACTTTAAATTAATTACTGAAAGATTAGTCACTCAATTATAGTGTGATTTTTTTATTATACTGAACTTAGTACTTACTTATATCATTATTAAATTAAAAGTTAAATTTTTACTTTGTTAGAAATAAAAAATAATAATTAAATAATTTATATATTTTTATAAAAATTATATTAAACAATTATTGAAAAAATAATATTTATGATATTATAAAAATATTTATTTATTTTTTAAATCCAATTAATTATGTATTTAAAATAATATTATTTTAAAATTATCTATTTAATTTTAAATAATTTAAATTTAGGGTAAATTGTACGTTTAGTATCCAACTATCACTTTGATTCCGTGCAATATTATTTAAGATTAAATATAAGTTAAAAATAATATTTCAAATAAATAAGTAAATAATATAATTTTAAAAAATAAATAAATATTTTAAAATATTTTCATAATATCATAAATAATTTTTTTAGAATAACTTAATATAAATTTTATCAATACATAAAAGTAATCATTTAATTATTCTTTATTTTTAAATAAAGTGTAAAATTATTCTGTAATTTAATAATGATACAATTAAGTATTAAGTTTGATATGATAAAAATAGATTCACAATATAGTTGAATGATTAAACTTTCGATTATTAATTTGAAGTGTCACATATTCAAATTTTATAATAATTTGAAAATATTGATTTTGTGGTGATATTGTTATATAAGTTAACTATAAAATATGGTAAAATTAATATAAATGACTAGTTTAATTCAATGGTTATGTGACTTGTATTTCATGTAAGAGGTCTAAGTTCAATTCATGCTAAGAGTAATAATACTTCCTTTTCTTTTCTTTTATATTCATAGTTGGTGACACTTGTCATCATTTAATTAATTCAATAAAATTAATTAAAAATATGATTGAGAAATAGAAAAATAATGTAGAAATTAAAAATTAAAAAAATGATGTATCATGTCACATTAGCATTGTCGTTAATAGTTTAAAAAATAAAATTTAAGTATTAAAATGAAAAAGTGATAATGTAAGTATTAAATTTATAATTTATTCTTTTAATATTTATTTAATATGAACATTTTAATTAATAATATATACTGATACTATCACTCTAATAATACGTTGGTGTAGGCAACGTGCACCTTTCAAATGTTACAGCCGTGCGAGACGATTTGTTTCTTCCATTGTTTGAGTATTAATATGTGATAACTGAGAAGTTCTGTCGTACGACAGTCTTAATATAAGTTTATGGAAAGAAGTTATCAAAAATGTTATTTTTTTTAATATTTTAGATAAAAAATTACTTAAAATATTATTATTTTTAAATAAAATATTAATATTTTTTAATATTTTTGATAAACTGTATAATATTAACATATCCGATAGAAAAAAATAATGTGAGATTTGTAGTGATTTCTGGCAACTTTTTCCACTTGAATTCTGGCATTGTAACTACAGCACCGCATGATTACATTCAATGAACATGGACTTAAACACATGCATCATAAAATATATTTATATTATTACTTAATATATTGATAATGATATTTTTTTAATTTTCCAGAACATTAAAAATTATTTACATATATTCTCAGATTTTAAAATACAATTTAACAAATTATTTACATATATTTTCGAAGTATATATATATATATATATATATGCTTATCCAAAATGGCAGCCTTCCAAAATACAAAAGCAACTTCTCCCAGTCCCAGCCCTAGCCCTAGCCCTAGCCCTAGCCTGACTTACTGTCAGCAAATATTCTTTGCAACCCACTAGATGTAGTGGACGTGCAACAAAAGTTACCCTAAAACTTTGCTGCTTCCCATCACTTCGCTTGTCTTATAAATAAGACACATAGGGTTAAATTGCTATTACTGAGATCTCTTGTACTAATTACTTTGATGATAGCTCCAACTTTTTTTGAGTATGGCTGCAATCCCCATATGCACCAATCTGCTTGGCCACATCCAACCACTTGGGTGTCCTGCAAACCGAAGCGAGTGTTGTTTGATTTTGAAATGTTACTGCTATTTTTACGTGGATGGTGCAAGCAAATTGGGACCTTTTTATTCAGTTCTTGGTTTTTGGTCCTTGTTTTGGTCAATTGTTACTGCTATTTGAAATGTCATACCGTATCTTTAAAGGAATATGACACTTAAAAATACTTTTCAACTTTGAAGAAGCGACGGTGACCACTAAAGCTAGTGCTGATGCAAATGTAAATCTTAAATTTCCTATCCCTTTGCGTACTGTACTTGTTTCGCCTTTAGCTTAGGCCTCCATATGTTAAAACTTTCGAAGAATATAAAGTGAATATTGTTTCAATGGAGTGGCCAAAAAAAAAACTTTACATGAAGTGTTTAGGATTTGATCCCCAGATAAATATCCTTATGCCATTTCTTTTATGGATTTGAATGAACCCTAATGTTTTTGTTTTGGGTGCATGTCGGAGAGCCTGGACAGATAATTAAAATGATTTAGGGGGTAGTAGTATTAATCCTAGGAAAATGCAACTTGTAGGAGGATCATGATTTAAAGGTACTTATATTAAATGATTACTGACATGATGCGTGCTTATTTAAAGCGAAGGCACAAGAGAAGAACATTCCAGCCACTCAACTCGTGATACTTAAGTTTTACCCATTTAGTCTGAAACTTGTATTTCGACATGCCAAGACTGCATATTAATTTAGATACATTTTAAGTTTAGGGTTGCTAATCCGATTATAGGTACGAACATCCAAACCGCAACTTGTCACATGGGGAAATCCAATTCCCCACGAGAAGAACATTCCAGCCACTCACTCGTGATACTTAAGTTTTACCATTTAGTCTGAAAACTTGTATTTCGACATGCCAAGACTGCATATTAATTTAGATACATTTTAAGTTTAGGGTTGCTAATCCGATTATAGGTACGAACATCCAAACCGCAACTTGTCACATGGGGAAATCCAATTCCCCACTTTCCGTTGTCACACAACAATATATGCCATTTTATTTCTTCCGTCCACACTAAAACTTTTTAGAAATGGAATAACACACTTTGGAGGCATAGAAAAAGAGAGATGGGACCATGTTAAAACGATTAATTAATGGATATTTTGTAATAAAATATTGAAGATTAATGAAGGCTATTTTGGGTGAATATTCTGAAACTGGAGACAAGTGGGAGAGGACATAAAAGTCAATTAAAATGGAGTCATGGTGGAGTTGGGAAGAATGGGTGGTCCATCGTCCATCCCTAGAGTTGGAAGCTTTCAAGTGTATTTAAATCATCATAACTTATTATATTTGTGTGGGACTTTTGGAGGGGCTTTAAGGGCGTGGTCTCTGCTTCCCATAAAATAAAATTTCTTCTACCTTTTCTACCCTCACCTCTAAATTATTTCAAGTATCAATTAAAACGATTTTCGTGATTAATTCTACAGGTTATGTAAACTTAAAAATACAATCGCTCCAACAACTGTTATAATATGGAGAGACACAGTTTGATTAGTCCTTGGTGGCAATTGTGCAATTCTAACCTCACAATAGGTGATGAACATGAAAGCACCATACAGAAACACAATGAGATACGTAGAGCCATGCACTATATGAGGTAGGTACATGTTCATTTTAAATTTTAATTTTTTTTAATTAACTATTTAATATTTATTAAAGGTATTTATTTTAAAATTTTATTTGTGTATGTTCCATTAAAAAAAACTTATTAACTTATATATCAATCTTAAAAAATCTTACGAAACTGATGACTCTAATGCATAACATAACTCTCTTGTCGCTTTCTCCGCTGTCTAAAAGTTTCTTCTGCCTCTACTCTCCATCAACAAATAATAATAATAATTTAGATTATTTGATGGTTGATTCTTAAATTATTATCAAATTGTTAATTGAAATTAGTATTAAATTCAAATATAAGACAATTACTGCCCTTTTTCATGCGGGGAAAACAGCTTTATCTGTTTCGTATATTTGGATGTGTCCCATCCTCAAAATTATAGTGTTTTTTTTAGTGAATATGTTGTTAAACCTAATGTATTAAAAAAATGTTTTGAAGATATATCATACATAATAGTTTTAGAAGGTAACTTATACAGTTACTCACTCAATTTAGGGATTTATATCGATTTTAGTAACAAATTTTAAAACAATTTGATGTAAATATTAAATATGATTAAAGTAATGAATCATTAAATATAAGATAATGCCATTACATTATAGTTTGGAGATTAACATGGAAGTTAAAAAATATTTTTTTATTTCACTAATTATATTCTTTATCAAATTTACGATTTTCAATTTAATCATAAATTATCATCTAACGTCTACTACTTAGACAAAAACCTTGCATTATCAGTATAATAATTACATTTTCTAAAAGTCTCTTTAAAACTTTTAATTCTAAAATAAAAATTCACCAACTTTGGGATTTGAAAGATTTCTCATATTTGAGAGACTTAGAGTGTTTGTTGAAAAATATGAACGGTGATAAGTATCATTTTGAGAAGATGTATGACATATCTTGAAACTAGTATCATTGGAAAATTGTTGGGGGAGCTCAAAGTATTAGAACATCAAACATTTAGATATATTTTTATCGAGTTTGACTAAATTTCATAAAAATAATTCAAGAATAAAACCTAAATTACGAGTGTGTTTTGTATCGATGTTATCATGAACGATAATCAATGATAGATAACGATTGACTTATAGTAGTACTTGAATGAATGGACAATTTTTCTATAAAAAAAATATGAGAAAAAAAGATCACCTTATCATATCATTGACGAACGACGAAGTGCTCTAATTAAACCCATAACCAAACTTTAATACCATAGTTAATAAAATAAATAAATTTTAGTGACTAATTGTATAATTTACCCTAATTTAAAAGAAATGTTTAAGTCAACTTTCAGATAAATCATATTTATTATTCACTACTACAAAAATATTGTCCAACTTGTAAATGATATGTGTTTTGTTAGCGCTATATATATATAGAACAAACAAAATTTATAAATTTGGATCAATCATAATAATATACACTAAAATGGACATCTTTTAGAGTGTTCACATTTTATAATTACAATTATAATTAATATTATAATTTAAATAATAATCAAAATTAACCATTATAATATTTTTTTGTTGCATTTTGGTTCCAAAGCTTTGCCTTGACTAATCCAGATCGACTCACATTGCACACCTGATTTTGGTGTGGGCGAGTCTTCCAACAAGTATTTTCTACATACACGACGACTTGAACTCGAGACCTTACTTAAACGATATCAAGTTGCTTACTACTTGAATAAAGCTGTATAGGTTAAAATCAACCATTATAATATTAAACAAATTACAAAAATATTTGAATCTAAATTACGATTAATTAGCTAAATAAGATTTTTTTTGATAGCCCACTATTCTAATAGTTAAACGGCATTCACACTTTCTTTATTCATGGTTCGATTCCAGGATTATTCAGCTAATTATGACCTAAACAATTATAACGATTATTGTTAGATATACACTAAACAATTATAACGATGAAACATAATAATTTTAATTTTCTTGTTAAAAATGACACAAATCACATCTCGTCGATATCTTTACTTTCCGCTATCTGATAATACTCCATATTCTAAATGAGGACTTGTTATCCATCCTATGTAACGATGAAGTTATAAAGGGAGAATATGCAAGGGTTTCTTCTTCTCAATCTTCTTATCGTTTCTCTTCTTCCTTCCTTTCCTAAAAGGTCGGGGATGGGGGATTTCTTTGAAATTTTCTTTCAGTGGTATTTACTGGGTTTGTTTTTGTTTTTGTTTTGGTATGAACAAAAAACCCTAAAATGTTTTGAAGCCTTCGTGCCCACACATTACTGAAGACGTCAAGGATCTTGGATTTAAGGTCTTGGTCTTACTTTTGGGACACTTTTCCTTAAACGGGTTTAGTTTGTTTAGTTTTCAGATCTGACTCATTCCCTTTAATATATATATTTTTTGGTCTTTGGGTTCATGTGTTATGAAACAGTTTTGTTTGCTTTGTTTTGGTAAATTTCTGTGTTGTTTGCTTTGTCTCCCATGGGAAATGATCTACCTTTTCTGTCATTCTTCATTTGTGGGACGTAGAAATTGACAGAAGAGAGTGAGCACACAGAGGGAATTGCATAAGGCTATACTTTTGCTTTTGCGTGCTCACGACTCTTTCTGTCAGCTTCCGGTGCCGGAATTTGATCTTAATTTCCTTTTGGTCACTTCTCGGCCTGTTTTTGTTCCATCCTCTCAACACACTTCTCTCTATATCTATCATTGTTGATTTATCTCATATGATATTCCCTTCATCTCTGGGATTAGTTGATTTCGAAGCCACCGGAGATATTCTACTCTGAGATTATGGTCTATGTCTGAATGGCTGTTTTTTTTTTTTACTTTTTTCTTTTAATAAGCTCGATATGTTTAGTTTATGGATTTAAATAAAAATTAATAGGTTCAAAGCGTGACGTTTGATGCTATTGACTGTTGAGGTACGCCTGATTACTGTGCGGGTTTAACGGTAAAACTATGAATAGCATGGGACCATTCACGTTAATCAATTTCATATTAGTAGCTAGCTTAGGCCTGTATGGTCCTCCATCAAAAAACCATCTTCTCTTTGTTTTTCCTTGCTTTTTTATTACTGCGCATGCGATCATATTCATACGCAGGATTGGAGTTAGCTTTCACCTGGATCTTGCAGAACCTGGCTGGTTGCTTCTACTCTCAGTCCCAAACGAAGGTTTCTATTTGTAACCCTACTCTTGTAAAACTAATGCGTTGCTTGTTTTACTGTCTCTGACTAATGGGTGTTGTTCTTGTTTTTGCTTTAATTTAGTGAAAATTTAGTCATTTGCAGACTCGGTTCTACTGATTTTATGTTGTACCATGGGTGATTTGTAGCTGTGAGGGTTGAAGAGAAGAAGAAACCCTGGGGGAATAGGTTTTGGGTGTGGTGACTGGTGACGAGTCTTCTTCATCCACAATTTTCTGCATCTATATCTTCTCTCTTGCTTTTTTCTCATGTTCCTTTTGCAGGATTTGAGTTTTGTAACTTTAGATGGAGATGTGCAGAAGAAAAACTTATAGAACAGGTCTAATTTTCTTATCATCTTTAAAAGCCAAATCTTCTTTCGTTTGAAGTACTCGCATATGTCTGTTTTAGGAATAGTTTTTGGGGACATACAGTACTTGCAGCATGGTAACGTTTTTATTATTTCTTGTATCTTCGAAAATCATTTAGTTCTCTATTGGACTGCATCGAGGTAAATAGTACCATGAAATCAACAATCTTCAAACTTTAAGATTATGGCTTCTGTTGTGAAACGATATTTCTGACTTTGCAAGTACCTTCAGATAAAGATGAGAGTTAATAATATGGGAGGTGGATACCTATAATGGTTTGCTTAAAGAAAAAACTTTTGGTTCATGTATAAGATTATCTATAAGTCGTCAGCATGTTATATTAACACGTGGAGGCAAAATATGATTAGTCTTCATTTAGAAATAAATAACAAAAGAGGGAAGAATAAAAGAGGGAAAAAACCATTGCTATTTTCAACTAATCTGCCTTTTGAAGCAGCTGAATCCTTGAATAATATGTCTGCACTACAAAGCAATGGTTGAGAGTTCTTTCATCTTATTTTGATTTACTTCATCAGTTTTGGCGCCATCATCATTTTGGCTGCATTCTTCTCCACTATGTAGCTTCAGCAGACGACTGGAATAAATGGGGTTGTCGGATCAAAGGTATAGTCTGGTTTTATGGGGTTAACATTGATACACCAAACATTGAAATCCTCAAATGATATGGTTTCAAGAAGAAAACATTGAATAGAAGGTATTTGTATGCAATCATAGTTGTTTAACTGGGTGTATAGTGGGCAATAGAACATGTATTTTCTATGATAGTAATAATGATCATAATAATAATAATAAACGTGGGTATCATAATTGACTCGTTTCCCTATCCCTATTATATAAGTGAACAAGCTAAATTGGCTGGCTGCTTTTATTTGAGTTGGTTTTTGCCTTTACTGCTTTTCTGCTTTGTGCAACGAGAGTTATTTTTTCTTATTAGAAAAATCACAGATGACTTAATAGACTTTGTATCGATGACCGAATTGTGGGATCGTCAATGTCGGCCTGTCTGCATATACTGTCTTTTTAATTCATGAAAATGAAGCAACATTTGTTTGTCATCGACCTTTCCTGGGAATCTATATTGGGGCTATATGGCAGAGTGAATGCTTTTCTTTTTGATGCAGTGAAACAATTTCAACTGGTGCACATTACTTTATTTTATCTAGCGATTATAGTTGCTGTGCTTTTTGTTTTGTTAATGGAAAGCATTAATACAAGGCTATAAGTTGCTTCCCTTTTAGTGTTTTGGTTCACATTAGGTTTCTTGTTTCTATTAGGCTCAAAACACTGCACTTTTGATGGATTCTCTCCTGCAGCTTCCTTTGAAATCGCAAGCGCATGTGGGGAGCCGTTTTTCTAGTTTCAGATTATCTTATTACTTGATAGGTAACATAATTTGTCCTTAATTATGACTATTTTTTTAATCTTTTAATCGTATAATATGCTGATCCCTATTTGCAAACCCCCCGAGGTGAAATCAAACGCTACCCTTGAGTGAGGACAGCAGTAGTTTCTCAAAGAAATTGATCCATATGCAAGCTTTAGGCAAATCATAACCTTTGCACTGTGTTCATAAGCTATGGAAAATATACTTTTGAAAAATCAAGCTGTGGGTTAGAGATTAGACTTTTTACTATTAGGTTGTGGGGGTTCTGAATTTTAAATATATCTATCAGGAGAGGTGCAAACTTTTTTTTTCTCACTTTTCTTCTTCGTTTTCTGTCATGTTGTGTACAATTTGGGATGTTTTCCATATTGTAGGTAGTTGAGACCATCTTTGGCTTTGATTATTAACATAGGGCACCTTTTTTCCTAAAAGCTTTGAATTCTATTTTCAGGGACAACTGGCAAGACCTGCTTGGGGAAATCTTTGTTTAGATGAAACAAAATAGTAGACTGAATATGAACCTGTAGTAGGGTGCTAGTGGGTCATATTTAGACTGTAACTTTGTGAATGAGGAGAGAAGATTTACTGCGAAGCTCTCTACTCGAAGTGAAAGCTTGCCTGTCTTAAGTGGATACCTAGTAGCACCGTGGCAAGTGGTGAAGAAAAGGGGTTTTGTGCATGAATGCCATGGGAAAGAGGATACATGCAAAGAATGTGGGGGACTGGGGGGGTGGGGGAAGCATAGCCATATGATTTGTACGACCAGTGGCAGTGGGACTGTCTTCTTACTTGACATGTTATGTCTATGCTGCTTTCTGCAATTCGGTCTTAACTTCCTCTTGGCTTCTAATATTAGGCACCACCTCTTAGTTTCCATATGATTTTAATAAATGTACCAGCTGAATTTTTAGTTTTGCAACCCTTCGGGTTTTTCTTTTTGTTTTGGGTTTGATCTCATCTCTTTCCTTCGTAACGCACGCATTTATGTCAACCAAGATTGGGATCTTTTAGAGCCATCTGATCATTTGTAAATAAAGATGTTAAATGGCATGGTATCCCGATCCATGACTAATTTAATCACTGCTGAATTTTCGTACGTTTTAACACCGTGTGATACGATTATACATTCATCTTAATTTTTTTAAACGCGAAAAAGTATATAAAACATTAAAAAAGAAAGAAAAACCGACACCTTTCATAGCTCCAATCAATCATGCTCTATATTATAGGCTAAATTACCGTTTGCTTTTAATTTTACTTTTCTGACACCGTTTGACCAATATTTCCAGAAGTAGCACCCTTTCTGCTGAGTTGGCAAAGGCGCGTCCCCGGGGGCGCGCTTTACCCGTGTTTTTCGCTGAGTTGGATGCCACGTGTGGAAGGCGCGTCCCCGAGGACGCGCCTTTGCCAACTCAGCAGACACGTATTTTGTTTTATAATAAATAGTTTATTTTTATTATTATTATAAATTAATAATATATTATGTAAAATGTTTCGATTATAATGTAAGAATTATCAAGTTTCGAGTGTTTTTGATTTTGATTATCGATCTATTAATTTTATCAGTTAATTATTTAAATATTATCAATCTAGTCATCTCATATCAATATTTAACGAAAATATTGATGCATAAGTTAATAAATTAGTATAATTACATATTTAATCTTCAAGACTTACATATTTTATAAAATTAGTCTTATTGAAAATTTAATTTAATAAATTTAATCCTCCAATCAGAACATGAAATGTGTCATCGTATACATAATTTTTTAATAACTTTTAATTTGTTTTAATTTAATATTTTTCTCTACTTAGAAGGTGGAATTATTATTATATTTTAAAAAAATTATAACTAATAATATTAATTATATTAAATAATATATTAAATATATTTATGTATTTAAAAGTAAAAAAAATTATTTAGGTGTACATACATTGACAAATTATATAAATGCAATAACATTAAATTATTAGAAATAAAAACATTCATTTAAATACAATATTAATTACATAAGAGTTAACGGTTATATGATGATAATAGAGCTGGACATTTTTTTCTATTGTGCCCGATGTTTCTACAATGCCCACATCGTTTTTGTTCTGTTGACTTCTCCCGAATATCCATATCACAATGTATTCTAGTAGATTTTGGACGACCTGAGTCCCTCAATAGCAATGGATCTGGTACAATTGTAAGCCAAGTTTGAATCTCATTTGGGTCTCTTTCGTTTCCTATGGGCGGAAACTCAAATTCATATACCTTGAATACTTGTGAAAGTTGGTATACGGGATCAACATAATTTTTGTAGTCCGAATGCGAATGTTAGCAAGCAGCAATGACATGAGAGCATGGATATTTGAGTGCTTGAAAGAAACCACAATCGCACCACCTCTCTTGCAGATTAACTCTGAAAGAGTTAGCTTCAATCCCTTGCAGCGGACGTGGTATTTCGGTTACACGAAACAATTCACGGGTGCGAGAAAAATTTGTAACTAACATCCCATTTGATGCAGCCACTTTTTTCTGTAAATCGGCTACTAGTCTTGGGTGGTAAATATGTCCGTTTTGCATCCAAGTAAGAGCTTGTCCACCGAGTTTTGCAAAGAGTTGACCCAAACGAAAATAAGTCGTTTTGACCAACACCGTGACTGGTAAATGACGCGCCCCCTTTAAGGTTGAATTTATTGCTTCAGCCAAGTTTGTTGTCATATGACCATAGCGATATGAGAGCTTTGCTTCACAATGGGCATGATTGCTTGACAAATAATGTTGGAGTCCAAGTTGGGATGATCTTGGTTTATACCTGTTGCACAACATGTATGAGGACCGTTGTATCTGGTTAGTTCCCATAAGTTGTTCTTCCTCTTCCTCTTTGATACACGGACCATCCATTGACATCCGTTGTGACGTTGGACGCAGTAGCAGACATATTTCTCCGTGTTAGATCGATCAACTCGGGACTGAACTGAGTTACGAATATTGTAACTCTTTATTGCCATCATTGCTTTCTCCTTCGATGCGAACTCCATTCCAATATGTAAATTACCGTCATTGACTGATGATTGAAGTCCATAGTTGCCAACATCAGGAAGATCTGGAAATTCAGGCTCATACATTGCATCATAATCAGCCTCATACATATGTGCAGGAAGTTCGACTGGTGTTGTATTTATCGGAACGTCATCCTCGTCATCATCAGAATGTACGTTAAACTGTGGTGAGTCAGGTTCAACGAATAATCCCGTTTCAGCACCATCTACACCTGGCTCCCGAAGAGGTTCTTCTGGTGGAGATGAGGGTTCCTCCGATAATCCAATATTGAGGTCAAATAAGTTCCCGCTTGCGTGTCCTCCCCTTGAACTTGAGGCCATTGTATCATGTGGGATGTAAATAGACTGTCGTCTCGTTGGCATTTCCATATGTAAGTCGAAAATATTGGCAGATGAATGTCTGCCCCTTGAAGTAGAAGAGATGTTGCCATATGGATTATTGGTGAAGCCACTTGGGTTGAGATCATAAGCAGTTGCAGATGAATGCCTTCCTATTGAACTTGATGGCATGGTATATGGCGTTGGATCCGCCATTAATGATGTGAAATCATTACAGATCAGTTGTGTCGGGCTATCAACTTGATCAGTTTGATATGCAATGCCAAAGTGAGAGGAATATGAGAGACTACGAGTTGCACGAACCTCAATAAAAGTGGCATACATTTCAATAAGAGATTGTGAACTCCCCATATGAGCATCAACCATCATAGAAACATCATCATCGTTTGAAAGCTGAAATGATGTATACGTGAGCGGAAAAAGTTCAGTAGGAAATCTGTACTGAAGTGAAGATAGTCTTCTCTGGCCTGCTACACGAATCTTTAACGAAATTTGTGATTAACTCCTCAATTGTGATGTTTCTCTTCAAGGTTAAGGGGATAATGATCTGACTCAAAAACAACCCCCTCTTCAGCTTCCTTAATTTCTCCATCATACAAAACAACAGCAGCAAAGACGACTCATTTTCAGAGAATTTGAGAATTTAGAGTTTGGGAATTTGAGAATTTGAAAGATTGTGAACTGAAGTTTGTTTTGAAAGTTTATAATACGTTGCATATAATAGTGTCTATAATCGGTTCACTATTCACATGAAGGCGCGTTCCCAGGGGCGCGCTTCCATTATTTCGTCAGAGAATATTTCATTGCCCTATATGTCATTCATGTCCCTCGGGGACACTAGATATATCATTACCTATTATTTCTCAGGGGACATGAAGGCGCGTTCCCGGGGGCGCGTCTTCCATTATTTCGTCAGAGAATATGTTATCATTGCCCTATTATGTCACTCATGTCCCTCGGACAGATATATCAGTACCTATTTTTCACTATTCACATGAAGGCGCGTTCCCGGGGGCGCGCCTTCCATTATTTCGTCAGAGAATATGTTATCATTGCCCTATTATGTCACTCATGTCCCTCGGGGACACTAGATATATCAGTACCTATTATTTCACTATTCACATGAAGGCGCGTTCCCAGGGGCGCGCCTTCCATTATTTCGTCAGAGAATATGTTATCATTGCCCTATTATGTCACTCATGTCCCTCGGGGACACTAGATATATCACCTATTATTTCACTATTTACATGAAGGCGCGTTCCCGGGGGCGCGCCTTCCATTATTTCGTCAGAGAATATGTTATCATTGCTTTATTATGTCACTCATGTCCCTCGGGGACACTAGATATATCAGTTTGAATAACTTAAATTTAACTTCTTTTGAAAGTTCAACAAGTTAAGAATAACTTAAATTAAAACGTTATGTGAAGTTTGAATAAATTAGATAAAATGTTATGGATAAATTGAATAAATGTGAAGTGATAAGTTGATTGTGACATTGAAACTGTATGGAATGAGCATTGAAATGTGACATTGAATAAATTGCCAATTCACCCCTCTTGGCTGATTCCGTCGATCGATGAACTCAACATAAGTTGATTTTAATGTATACGTTTTAATATATGTTAATGATAAATCATATGTATGGATAATTTAATTTCAATTTAAGTATTGTGAACTATAATTGGAATATAACTTTTAATTTCGAATACAATTGGAATATTAAGTTGAAATTTAATGTTAAATTTCGAATACTATAATTTATATTTTAAATTTAAATTTGAATAATATTATTTTTATTTTTATTTTAAATTTCGAATAATATAATTTGTATTTTAAAAACATTTATCAAACATTTAATGTTAAATGTGAATAAAAAATAACATTAAAAAATATGTATGTAACAACCATGAAACATTTAAATAATAACCAAATTACATAAAATTCTGAAATTTAATTATTTAAATAACATTAAATATAACTGGATCACCGATGCGTGTATGTAACAACCATGAAACATTTAAATAACATAACCAAATTACATAAAATTCTGAAATTTAATTATTTAAATAACATTAAAATAATGATCACCGATGTCGTCTTGAAGGGGCTGAAGGGCCTATATAAAATAACGACCCTGGAGGAGTGCTAGTAACAATCCCACCGCTCCCCGGGAATGTGGAATTGTGAAAACATTGGCATCGATGTATGTGATCCAGATGAAGATTGAGGTGTCTGCGGAGAAGCACCACCAGCCAAATAAGATGCATATGAACCATATGCTGGATCATTACACATAGTCGTATATGCACCTCCATATGGTATAAAACCCTGCGGGCTAGGCATGTAACCTGGCGGGCTAGGAATGTAACCTACGGGCTCGGAATGTAACCTGCGGAGATGGCATATAAACTGGTGGGCTTGGCATATGAAGTGGAGGGCTGGGCATGTACCCCTGCGGCTCGACGAATAAGGATGGGTGGGACTGATGCAGAAACGGTAGCGCCTTCTCTCCGTCCACGTATCGGGGGACGATGATATTGAGACGGTTGAACGTCTTCTCGCGCCTAGGAATATTAACCCTCGTGCTTCCGCCGAAAGTAGAAACGGCTTCCCATTTTCATTAAACCTGTCCATTAGTTATCTGTAACCATATGACCGTTTCAGCGTAATATTGTCGAGGGGCCAAACAGTGTATATCGGTTCTCCCAAAGCGCAATCCAACTCTGTGTCTCACCACCCAGTTAACATCTTTCTTTCCCGTCTATCTATGTTATGCACGTCGTCTAAATTTCTAGGAGCTCCAGGAATATATTGAGTACAACCATACTGACGGAGCACGCGATCAACTGGATGCCACTCAATAATAGCATAACATATAAGAGGTATAACCGATATCCATACCTCTAATGACCCACTAAGGTGGGGTGGGATGCAAGGTTTCACTTCATCGCTCGCATAAGGTATCCACTGAAACTGAAATATAATATACAATTCAAATAAAAAAATATTCTAATATATCTAACATTTTAAATTAAAATATTAATAATTAAACAATTTAAAAACATACCTCAGACCCAGCTTTCGTATCAATAAGTAAACGAATTTCCTCTAACCCAGTAGGTATACTTTTATGGTCTTTCTTTTCATCGACCACCTATGAATATAATATAAACTAAATATCACCCTATTAATTGAAAATATTTAAATCAAATTTAGTTCGAAAATTACCTCAACAATAAGAGGAATACGTATGGTTCATTCACGATCGGGCATAAGAAAGGCATGCGGAACCACGCCCATGATATAGAAGCAGAAGACATCCACCGATAGCAGTTTTCTTATAATTCGTCGCCCGACACATTTCTCTAAAGAGAAATGTCAAAACTGCAGCACCCCAACTATATCTTCCAGCTTCATCAAAATCGATCAGATGCCGCAACCACATACAAGCACCTGGTTGCGAGATTTGTCGGGCATCAATATTCCTCCAATTATTCGTAGAATATATGCCCGAGCACATGCCTTGCTTGATCCTCTGAAGCATTTTCATTAAAACCTCAAAATTAGCTTTCAACCAAGATAAAGCTATTTACCTCCATTAAACTCTGGCGGAGCAGCTCCAAGATAATCAATGCACATTGATTGCCAATCACCATCCGCCATACCACACATCATATTTCTGTCGACGGGAAGCCCCAGATGCATAGAGACATCCTCCAATGTAATTGTTACCTCTCCACATGGAAGGTGAAAAGTGTGTGTCTCGGGCCTCCACCTCTCAATCAGTGCAGAAATTAGGACAGGTTCGAGTTTGCAACCGCCTATAATTGTTGCATATACCCGAACCCAGCAGAAGCCAAATATGGCAAAATACATTCCGGTGTCGGTATACGTGAATTTTTAATAAAAGTTTCTAAAATACGATCAGCATCCTAATAATATATTATAAAAAATAAAAATTAATATAAATTCATAATAACTTTAAATAAAAATAAATTTAAATATTACATTAATTATAAAAAATATTACCATATCGCTAAAATGTCTGGAGATATGATCAATATCCAATCGCAACAGCATTTCGTTTTCCATTATAACTGTAGACAAAACAATATAATTAACAAAAAAAATTAATAATTTTAAATAAATAATAATTATAAATATTATTTTAATAAAAAATAATATTTACATAAATATTAATATAAAAATAATAACTATTTAAAAAATACTAACATAAAAATAAATTTCTTACCACTAATAACAAATTTAAAACTCAAATAATTGAAGAATTTGAGTTATATAAGAGAGGAGAAGATGATTTTGGTGTGAAGAATGAAGGAAGGTTGAGAGGGTCTATATATGGGAGGAGGAGGGATAGTTAGAAAAAACGGATGGGGGCATTTATGACATTTAATGGAAGGTGCGTCCCCGGGGATGCGCTTTCCACACGTGTCTGCTGATATGACAAAGGCGCGTCCCCGGGGACGCGCCTTTCACACGTGGCATCCAACTCAGCGAAAACATGGGTAAAGCGCGTCCCCGGGGACGTGCCTTTGCCAACTCAGCAGAAAAGGTGCTAGTTTTGGAAATATTGGTCAAACGGTATTAGAAAGATAAAATTAAAAACAAACGGTGTCAGTTATGTAATTTAGCCCTATATTATATGCTTTTATGGGAAGCATCGCCAAACTAGTTGAGATTTGACAGCATGCGTCCTTTCCAACTATTTTTGATGCCACCCCCGCAATCCAAATTGTGAGATAATTGCATATACAATAACGAAACAGGACGCCTGTCTAATTAATGATTCCATGTCATTACAATAACAATAACAATAACAATAACCAAGATGACATTTATTAGCATGCAAAAAAAAAACCTTAATAGCAGACCATATTGTTACTGTGCAAGTACAGAGAAGGTAGACTGTCCTAACTGCGCCACAAGCCCACAACATCAAATTTGATTGAGAGATCATGGGAGTGTTTGATTTTTTTACATGTTCTTTGACAGCGCCCCAGCAGCAAATAGCAGATTCCTTCTAGAAAACTGACCCAAACATAAAGTTCACCGTATTTATCATATACACACGCGATTATACAGACAATATTAAGAAGGCGCACACACACCAAATGGAAATAGAAGCATCAGATTCCAATGAAAAATTTTACCTGCAAACTATACACCGGAGTGGACTTGGTTGCAAGGGTTTTCAACAATCTCAGCCTGTTTGTATTCCCACTCCTGTTGATTCAAACCAATTTTATCACATAATTAATAATTATAAGAATATATGACACGAGACTATAAATATATCACAACCAAATTTGTTCTCCACTGCTGAAAACCTACTTTTCTTCATTCCTGGGGACCTTTGCGCTTGTTGTTACATCCCACAATTTTACAGTGCAATCAGCAGATCCAGATGCCAGAAGTGAACCTTCGCAACTGAATGTTCAAGAACAGGGAAGAAAATGTTAAGAAATTCAAATGTGCAATCGTCTGAAACCTGCTTTACGTAAGAATTTTCAAGACATGATTTGGATTATCTAGACTAGAAGGTAGGTTTTTCACCTGAAAGCTAGTGTCCACACACACGAGGTGTGACCCATCAAAGGTGTAATGCACCTTCCGCTTGAAATGTCCCACATCATGATCATGCCATCTTCATCACCAGATGCCACATATCGACCATCAGGCGAAATCGCTAATGACAATATCATACTTCTATGACCAATGAAAATTCGAACGCATTCTCCATTTTGTACATCCCACAACCTGACTGTTTTGTCACTAGAGCCAGTGGCAATATAGTTGCAGTTTGCATGCCATTGCACACACTGAAACAGAGGTTGAACAATTTTTGATCAGTTGAAATATAATACAACCTCAAACAAGAGCATGTACCTTGCTTTAAAAAATAACAACCAGAAAACTCTGCAAGATATAAGCTTTTATCTGACAGGGAAAATGGTGCAACTTTTTTATGGGGTCAGATCTAACAGAAAAGATTGGCCACACATTTGATTATAAAATTTAGAACAGCATGTCAGAGAAAGAAAGATAAAGATAGAAGCCTACTTACATCAACATCAGACAAGTGCCCTGCCATTATTCTCAAAGGTTGTATTCTGTCCATCGACCATATCCTTGCCGTTCGATCATGAGAAGCACTGGCAAAATAGTGACCCGCAGGACTAAACTGCAGGGAGGCAAGGACATCAAACATATTAGAGGTAAAAACAAAAAGGAAAAAATGTCTTGTTCTAAAGAATGAAAGGGAGTGGAGAACTTCAGAAGTGGTATTTATTGTCAAACACCCATGGAAGATCAGATGTACCTGAACATCCCAGACAGGATAATTATGACCCTTGTAGCAAACAAGATTTGCATTTAGTTTTGTGCTCCATAAGCGAACTGTAAGTCCATGTTTTTAAGGTTGCAAGAAGTTTCAATATAGGAACAAGAGCAAACTATTGAAGGGAGGTGAAGAAACCGAGATGTGAGGGAAGACAAGCTCTATGAGAATGCAATATTGTATGACATACTTGTGGTATCTGCTGAAGAAGAAAGAATAAAATCACCAAGAGGACTAAAGGTGGCAGAATGAACTGGTCCTGAATGACCTTGAAACAATGTATATGACCTTTTCCCACCATTTGGCCCCACAACATGTTCACTTGAAATAGAATCATTTTCAGCCTGCAAAATAGCTGACACCATACTTTCTGTCAAACAGAAATATAAACAGGTATATTAGAATTGTAGAGTAATATTGAAAGAGATATCCGGATTTTTGGGATAAAAATTCAACAAAGACTCTGCAGTTGCCGCGCGCAGGGGGGGGGAGTTAATTAACTTTCTGACTTACAACTGCCACCTTGTTGGCCCAGTTTTGCCATATCCCAAACCTGTGGGCAGAAATCAAATCAGCAACCAATATGTTTCCTTAAAAGGAAAAGGACACCAATAAAGAAGAAATCATATATCAGGCAAGCTATGATTTAAGATGCAACCTTCAGTGATGAGTCTGAGAAACCTCCAGCAACCAAAGATCCATCCTGGGATATTGATGAACAATTCAAACTGACACAAGTATAATGCACGTTAAGCATCTGAAAGCATTTAAAAACGAAGAAGACTATTATTTATGGACATTACCCATTATGTGCGTTTAGGAAAGTATAAAAGCTGACAGATGGCAATAAAACACTGCTCAATTGTACACGATTTCTTAAATCCTCAAGAATAGACTGCTCTACTTCTGTTGACCTGAGGCAAGCATTAAAAAAATAATTTAAAGAAACAACATACGCACAGCATAGCAAAACAAGACTCGAATTAAGAATAATATAGAGATGTCTATTCAAAACTTATTTCCAACCATATATAGAACCCATTAAGAACTTATTATAACAAGCATGCTAATAGAAGCGATGTACATTCAAGCTCTTTTCTCCATCTCTCTCTCCATTTTTCTCATTTCACAGAGTAAAGAAAAGGAAATTGATAATTCTATGGCGGTTTAATTCAGTGAAAGTTTAGCACACTCTGTTAAGAATCAATCTTACATCTTATAAGAAAGATCAAGAGGGAATTACTGAATGTACATTAAGGGCAAAGGGAGCTTTGATTTGACTCGTGGTGCAGCAGGAGTTGTGCTAGCCTCAGGACGAGCACTTTTTGCTGTTGCATTAAGAGATTTCTCCTTTTTCAACTTTTTCGTTGAAGCACCTTGCTTTCCACTTTCAACTGATCTTTTCTGAACAAGAAACAGATAAAACAAATTAAAGAACAAAAACCTGATTCTGCCATTAATCAAACAATTTCATAATCCTACTACAGTATACTTGAACATCATCTAAAAACTAACAAAAGTAAAATATATTCATTCAAGTGCTGAAGGAATATAATGAATTGTTACAGGACCTTTTATAGAAAAAAGTACCTTAGTCTCATCTACATCCCCCTCTTTGTTCTCTTCTTCTGTCTTTTCAGAATCAGAAAGCAAACCTCCTGCTTTCTCCAAGCGTTCTTCTAGGGAGTCTTCAAGCAACTATGAAATGTATAAGAAGCTCAAAGTTAAAAAAAGACAATTATAAATATGAGAATAAGTATGCAAATGTGTATTTAAGTGGAGTACAAATAGGATTCAGTATAGAGCTGAAGGCAGCAGGAATCCTTTTACTTTCACTAATGGAAGGAGAATTATATCTGCAAAATCCATAGATAATTATAAGACCAATTCAGCAACTCACTCCCCAATGTATTTCTTTCTGGTTTATCTGATTAGCTGCGTCCTGGCAGCTTCCAATAAGTGTTACAACCTCTGCATCATCAGAAGTGGAACTGGGCTGTCCAGAAGAAACTGGAAGGAAACAAAGAAAACCATAATCAGACAGCACCTCTTTTGCAAATGTAGCAGGCAGAATATGATTAATGAAAATGGCATCACCTTGGAAGTTGATGTGTTCATTGATGACCCCAAGCATTGCAGTGGATTGTGTTTTATGCAAATATTGCAACAGAAGATCATAGGAATACTGCCGAAGTGATTGACAACAAATTCAGCAGTTAAAGAGGAAATGAATAGATACTTTTCTTATCTTATTAGCAGTTACCAAAGAAAGAATTTACAGCTTTTACCTGACATATCTTGATGTTAACTTTACTCTGCCTAAGAGAACGAGAAAATTCCATCTCCTGATTAAGGAAACAACAACTGATGGTGAGTACAAAAAATGGCAGACTCTAGTCAGTGGTATGTAAGTAAAAAAAAGGAAGAAAGAGGACTATGTTCCACCTCCAAATGAGACTGAGAAAGAACCCCTTCCAACTTTTGAAGGTCTCGTGAGTGCATCAATTCATGGTCTTCACGAAAGGTATTGAAGAAAGTTCTAGCTGCAATACAAATCAAAATTATATGAGACAAACTTATCAAAGGTTTGCCCAGTAGAGCCCTCTTCAGGAGGTCAATAACAGCACAGGATACAAGAAAAAAAATCAAAGTCTAGAATGTTTTAATAAATACCCTCTTGCAGATGTCCTTTTGCCACCATATCCATGAACGAATGTATAAAAACAGGATAAAGCACACGAAGCAATTCATGCTGCATGCATTCAAAGACAATGTTATGTCACTGATTCAAACACTCATACACTAGATATCAAATCGATTACCTTATATAAATCTAGCGAACTATAAGTCCATGACCTCAGTTTACTATACCCATCCTGATAACGTGCCACATCATCCTCCGACCTGTAAAAAAGCAGAGTGATAAGAAACAAGGAAAAGAAACCTACAATAAACAGTGAAATTCAACCAAAAAAGGAAAGCATTCTTCTTCTACACAAAAACTATCTCTCTATTTAGCATTTTTTACTGCACCATTGAAACAGGCATTCATGTTTAGCAAACATGAGACTTATCTTAATCCGACATGTAATTTAGGTCATTACGTTGGAAATTGCTTAGTTAGGAGTCAACGTTTGCATTTGTTTGGAATGTTATCGAACCCAACTTCTACCAATTACCACTGTTCCACATAATCTAAACGAAGTTTCAATTCTGAACTCTTCCCCTAGCCAGAACTAAAGTAAAACCGAATATGAACACCAAACACTGAATCCGCACTATAGAATGCTAGCTGCTAACAATAGCAGTTAACCAAAACGGAGGAGATTAGGAAATTGGTGGAATTTGAGAGTTAGGGTTTGCATTTGAACTTACTGGGAGAAGCGGTGAATGAACTTAGCGAGTTCAGGGTCGTCGTGGAAATTGATAGGAGCGGAGTCCTTGTTCTGAAGATCCTCTAACAATTGCTCCGCTTCTTTGAATCCTTTCTTCTTCAAATAAGCCGCTACGAAGTTATTCACTGCTTGCATATTTTCCATTGTTGCTTTTTCTCTTCCACAACCCAAAAACTTATCGAGTAAAACCAAACATACGCTTTCGTCTTCCCAATTTTTTCTTCTATGCTTCGCTTGTTCCCCTGAACTATGATTAAGTAGGGATTTTTATATCTGGGTTCGGATCTTTGTTAAGTCCATAACTATTTGGATCCTTTTTACTATTTCATGGGCTCACTACTAATAGTTTTATGAGCCCAAAGTAATAGATTGAATCACATATAGGGGGTCCAAAGTTCGGTTTTAATCGTATTTATTAGGGATGTGCAAATTCGGGTACCCGGATTTTCGGGTACCCGATTTCCGGTACCCGAAACTTCTGGGTCGACGATTTCTCGGCCCGTGTCCCGACCCGGATGTTACGGGTACCCGGTAATCGGGTACCCGATACCCGGTTTTTAATTTTTTATTTTCAAATTATTAATTTAAAAAAATATATACACAAATTTAAATGTTCGAAACTTCGAATTACATACTCTAATATCCGAACATAAAATTTAAAAGTTCAAAATACAAAATATAATAATTCATAATATAAATAATTCATTATATTTTATATAATTATATATAAAAATTAAAAAAAAAATAAAAACTAACCGGATACTCAGGTAACCGGGTACCCGGAAAAACTAGATTTTGTGACCCGGGCCCGACCCGGGAAATGTCGGGCCAGGTACCCGACCCGGCCGGGTAATTTTTTTTAGAGAATTACCCGGTTTTTTTAGATCCGGGTCGGCGGGTCGATGGGTCGGGTCAACCGGGTCGGGTAATTTTGCACACCCCTAGTATTTATTGATCAAAACAAAGTTTTTTTGGTTAATTTTATGTTCATACGATTAAGGAGTAATAATTTTTTCAAACTTTCAGTTATTGGTCAATTCGATTGAAAATCGGTTAATTAACTAAATTAATCAAAATTATTATATATTTAATATATTATTTATATATTACTTATTCTTAAGAGTGTTTAAACTTCGATTTTAATTAAACTAATTGACTGAATTAATCAAAAATATTAAATAGTTAATATATTATATATATTATTTTATATTTCAGTTAATTCGATTAACATATTAAAATAACTGAACTTTGTTCAGTTTAGTTAAAAAATTATGGGAAAAATTGATTTGATAAATGGTTAAAAGAAAAAAATTGATTAATGAATTTTGGGTAATTTGATTCAATTGATTAACTGAACCACCTAATTCAACATCTCTCATCACGAACTGGCATTCAAAATAGTTATTATCAGTTGTTTCATTGATACTAATAGTGAATTTAATCACCAATAATTCTTATTTATATAAACATATCGAATTTTAATGATATTATATGGGGTGCTTATCGACCAGTTAATCGCGAGTTGAGCAATGCTTAATTCATGTTCGTTAAAAAATTTGTTGCTCAATTCGACTCGTTGCTCGTTATGGTCGTTAAAATTTTTTTTGACTCATGCTCGTTAAAAAAAACTTGTAGCTTAACTCCTGCCCGTTAAGCTCGTTGCTCGTTAAGCTCACCAAAATTTGTATCTTACTTTTTCAGATGTAGGTAAAATCTAATAATATTATATAGAGTTAAATATAAACATAAATTACTAAATTTAACCCAAAAAATTATCAAAAGAGTGTATGCAAAAAAATTGAAAGTCTAAACTCTAAAATAACGATCCACAAATACATTAAAATAAATTAATAATTAATGTTTGATTTTTGAATGTAGTAAAATAATAACTATTAATTAATAATGTAGTATTTTTTTAGTTTTTATTAAAAAATTAATAGATGAATCATTTATTATCTATTAGTAAGTTAATACTTTTTTAATGAAATAATTTTTTAAGAGAACTACTAAAAATTTATAAAAAAAAGTTGGCGAGTTACTCACGGATTTATTGAGTCGAGCTGGAATTTGGTCGACTCAATTTATTAAGGTTAGTTAATACTTTTTAATGAAATAATTTTTTAAGAGAACTACTAAAAATTTATAAAAAAAAGTTGGCGAGTTACTCACGGATTTATTGAGTCGAGCTGGAATTTGGTCGACTCAATTTATTAAGGTTTCGAGTTGGGCTCGATTTCAAATCGAGTCAAGTTCTTATCGAGTTTTGACCTAATCGAGTTCGAACTACTCATAAGCTGCTGATTAAGCACCCTGGGATATAATATAATATTAAGTAAATTCGATGAAAATTACTCATTTGGAAAACATCGGTTGATGCTCTTACTAATGAGGTTTGGAGATGTTCATCAACTATGATTGTAGTGCGAAATTGTCATGATTTAATTTTAAAGAGTAAAAGTCCAAAAATAATTTCCTTTTTATAATTATTTTTTTGTAATTTTTTAAGGCATAATTTTTATGTTTTTCTTAAAAATTTATTATTATTTTAGAGTATTTTAAAATTTCGATTAGACTTGAATGAAATACTAAATATTTTTATGAATTATTAAAGTGACTTTGAATTGCTGGGAAGTTTTCTTTCTTTAGAGGTTTCACCGTTTTGTTCCCATGCAAGAAGAGTCTCCGCCGGTCACCAAGGTGACCCAGGCAGTGGAAGGGGAAGGTAAAGCAGAAAGAAAAAATAAAAGAATTCGTTCAACTGAAGGTGAGGGCATTTTCGAAGAGGAGGTGTCAAGAAGATCATGGAGAGATACTGTGATAAGTCTTACATTTCTTCCTGAAAATTTTCAAATCTCGACTGAAGTTGAAGATGAAGATTCAGATGAAGAAGAAGCTCCTAAAGGGGATAATATCCCGACAATCAAGATCCCCCAAGAATTAAAAGAAAAATTGAGGAAACTATGGAGAAAGGCGCTCATTATCAAGATTTTGGGCAAAACAGTGGCCTACAAAACCCTAATCAGTAGGGTAACAAATATGTGGAAATTAGAAGGTGAGTTTGAATGTATTGACCTTGGGTATGGGTTTTATGCAATTAAATTTCAAAATATGTTGGATAGAGCAAAGGTTCTTATGAAAAGACCTTGGAAGATTATGGATCATTATATCACGGTGCAGAGATGACGTCCCAATTTTGTGGCAGCGAACGCAAGTATTCCTTCTACGGTAGTTTCGATTCACATCCCAGGTCTCCCTATTGAGTACTTTGAGGAGAGTGTCCTGTGTAATCTAGGAAAGCTGGTTGGAAAACCCCTTAAGATTGATTACCATACAGCTTGGTCAACAAGAGGAAGATTTGCAAGAATATGTGTGAAAATTGATCTAAATTCTCCCCTATTGTCTAAAGTATGTATAAGAAATAGGGTATATAATATTGAATATGAGGGCTAGAACTCTATCTACTTCAATTGTGGTGTTGTGGGTCACAGAGTCACCGATTGCCTTGTTAACCAAAAGCAAACTCCAATTATCATGGAGGTCAACAGAGAACCACAAGTTCAAGAATATCAAGAAATACATGAAATAGAGGAACATGATAAAATTCAACAAGAAGAGAAAGAATTAGCTAAGGACAGATATAGACCCTAGATGCTAGTTCAAAGGAGAATACGTGGAATTAGAAGTAACCTGAAGAATCAAAGTAGTAGAAACCAAGAACCACGACAGAATAACAAATTTGATGGGTTGAATAATATTGATGAATAAGAGATTAGCAAGGGAAAGGAGGAACAAAGCCGAAATCAAGAGGTAAATGAAATCACTAATAAGACTAGAATGTTAACGAAGGACATGCGATTTACCCGAAGTGAAGAATGTAGCAGCAGAGTTAAAGACAGTAACCCGACAGAGAGCTCAGGTGATGGGATCTCTAGGAAAAGAAATGATAAAATTCAGTCTCCTAAATTCTTTGCTAAGAGAGACGAACATGGTAGAACTAAAGGAAGTAAGAATAGATGGAGAAATAGTCAAAGTGTTGTTATGGAATCAGAAATAGAGGTGAGAAAATTATGGAAAATCAGGAGAAACCCTCAATGGATGTTGAAAATGCTACCAGTCAACCAGATAATCAGGATGCTTGGGAAATGGAAGTTGAACCAGTTGGACCAGAACAAGTAGTTATTACAAATGAGACGATGGCCATAGAGGCATATACTAATAACAATCTCCCTCAATGAGGTTTATTTTTTGGAATTGTCGTGGAGTAGGTAATAAAGATTCAATCAGGAACTGTAGAGAGTTAATAAAGGATGAAAACCCAACCATTATTTGTCTCCTTGAAACAAAAGTTAAGACAGGTACTGGTACTTTGCTTCAGAAAAAATTGAAGTTTGATAATCACTTTGAGGTCCTCATACAGGGTCTCTAGGGAGGTTTGATTCTTTTTTGGAATTCTAACTTGCAAGAGCTTACCATTCAGCATTATACAGACCAGGTTATCCACTGTGATATTCAAGAAAATGGTAATAGGTGGTTGTTTTCCACTGTCTATGTCCAACCTCATTCTACTAAAAAAGAAGAAGTATGGGAGAATATCTACGCCTACTGTACAAGTGTTGATCAGCCTTGGATGATTGTGGGCGATTTTAATGACTTTTCTACATTGGATGAACGCATAGGCAGTAACTCTGATTGCATGGACCGAATCATCAAGTTTCGCGAACGCTGGAATAGGTGTAATCTGATGGATGCTGGTTATGTTGGTAGTAAGTTTACATGGACTAGACACCTCCATAGAAGAGTTACTCTTCAGGAAAGACTCGATAGGTTGCTTCATAATATTGAGATGGCCGATTGCTTTCCAAACCTTAGAGTGGTTACCTTAACAAGAGTTTATTCTGATCATAACCTGATTCTAGTAAACACGAATTTGGAAATTCCTGTCGACAAAGAAAAACATCTAAATTTATTCTGATCATAACCTGATTCTAGTAAACACGAATTTGGAAATTCCTGTCGACAAAGAAAAACATCCGTTTAGATTTGAAGAAGCTTGCCTTACTCATGAAGAGTTTAACATGATTTTTAGTTTAGCATGGGATAAAAAAAAGACTCTCTTGTTGATGCGGTGAAAGAAACAAAGAATGCGATCATAGAATGGAAGGAGAATACTTTTGGGAACATCTTCAAACGCAAGAAAATTTGATGAAACGAATGCAAGACATTCAGAAA